CCAATATAGGCCAAAGAGATTTTATAATCCAAAGTCTAGTTGCTTACTTGTCTAGTAAAGGCTTTTATCTTCCAGCCAGTGTTATAAATTCAAAAAATTTTTATTGGCACAAATACAAAAAAAATATGCACAAAGAAAAAATTTATACACATGTTATATATATGAGGAGCACTGATATATGCGCAAATTTAAATCTATGTGTACTGCGCCTACTGCGCCGATCCAATTTACATCACTGCTTCCAGCCCCTAAGAGGTTATTGATCTTAATTTAGATTTATTTTCTTATTTTTTTTAATATTTATTATTTAGAATTAGAATTTTTTTTTTATAGTTATAGAAAGGCCAAATTTTAAATTTATAGTTTGTTACTTCTAAGTAAAAGTGACTGAAGGTTGTAACTCTACCCTATATACAAAAATATAGCGGATGGTTCTGGGTGAGCCAAGGCCTAAAACCCATGATATAATTTTATTAGAAGGTTATAGGTGAGCCAAGTCCTAAAACCCATGATATAATTTTATTGAAAGGTTACGGGTGAGCCAAGTTCTAAAACCCATGATATAATTTTATTAGAAGGTTATGGGTAATTCGAAACCCATAAATATATATTAATTGAAATGGCTATATTTTATTATTTTCTTCTTTATTATTTTATTTTAGTTTATTATTTTTTTTTCCTCTCTTTCTCTCTCTTTTTTTTTTCTTTTCTCTTTTTCTTCTTTATCTTATTAACCTTTTTACTTTACTTTATTTATTTATTTATTTTTTTTATTTTTTTTTTCGCTTTATTAATATTCTGATCAAGTATTAATTTTGCTTAAATTCATTTATAATTTTATTACTTCCTTCATTAATCTTATTATTTATTATTATTATTTTATTATTATTTTATTACTTTATTATTTTATTTATATATTATTCCAATAGAAAAAACAAAAGCAAACCTTATTTATTTACAAAAATAGAATTCCAAAAAACTGTACAAAAATAAGAAAAAGAGCAACTAATCTATACCCAAAAACACCCCACACCCTTCTTTCTTCTTCATTTTCTTCTTCAAGTCTTCTTCTTTCTTCTTCTTTTGCTTCCTCAACTTGATGAAAAAGACTCTGGTAAGCAGCATCTCGAAGTTCGAATAAAGAGCGATACTAGTCTCATTCTTCTATAAGAGCTGCATACTCTTGCTCTTGACAGACAAACTGTTATAAATGGCCAAGAGCCATACTGTTAAGCTTTTCAATAGTAGCTGCTTGATCATTGACTTGTTGCTACAACCACCTATAAATATAATATTATAATTTATTATTTATTATTTATTTTTATTTTATTCTATATATCTATATTGGCCTGATCAGTTTTTAGAGTTAAAAAATTATACTATAGTACCTCAAAATTTATTAGTATATTTTTTAAAACGTACCTTATTTTAATATCATGTGAGCATGAAAATCATTTAGATAGAACCTTAAAAATATTTATTTACTATTAAAAATATAAGCAAACGCGCTAAAACCCATTGTTCAAAGTCCCAACCCATTATTTTTTTTTAATAGATATATAGTATGCTAGAATTTATAGTTATATACATTTTTTTATATATATTAACTATTTAAAATATTTAGTTATGTCTAATTCTATTAGTACTTCAAGATTTACTTGCACTCTTTATACACATTTACAATCTTATAAAACTAAATGTGGTCTTCAATATCATGAAACAATAAAACACAAAGAACATAATATACTACCTTCTCATATATTACCATTACCTAACTATGAGCTTGATTATATTAAAAAAATTATAGTTCGAGAAATTCAGAAGCATCTAAAAAAGTATCATTGTACTGTTAGAAATCAAGTTTTTTCTTTACATTGTAGTGAAAATACCTTTGTAAGAATATTTAGTAAATATCTTATATGATATTCTCCATGTGGTAATTTTTATTAATGTCATTTTAGAGAAACAATTCATATAATATATTAACAAATATTTTTAATAATGCTATGTGGGGAGAACGAGATTATGGTAATGGTCAACTTAGTTGAGTTAAATTAGTAGACGAAATGAATTGTAACTCTTGAACTGAATTATATATTGAATGGACCATGAAAGGATTTTATGATATGTCAGGTTATAATTGTTATACTAGAAATGTAAAATTGAGATTTTTAACTGATATTGCAATGTTTAACTAATAAAAAATTATATATTTCATTTATTAAAAATATTGAATCAATAAGTTTGTTTAAACATTAATTAAAATATTTTTATTTATACTATCTAAAGTATTATAAGAACAGTAAAGTTATAATAATTGTATACTATATCGATATCTATTACTTAATTATTGTGGCAGATTAAAATGAAATCGGATTAAAATGAAATTTTTTTATTTTTTTAGAAAAATTTAAAATTTTTTAGAAGATATTTTTTAGGGTTAGGGTTAGTGTTAGTGTTAGGGTTTAGAGTTAGTTTTATTAATAAAAGAGTAAAGTGGGTTTTATAAGCTTTAAAAGCAAGAAAGATCCTCAATTTCATTTTAATCTGATTTCGTTATGATCTGCTACAATTATTATATTTGAGAAGATATTCATGAACTTGAATAATTTATTTTAAATAACAGCAACTATATTTTTTTTTGGCCAATACTAGGTTGGCTCTTAAGAATAACCTTAATCAATTGATTAAAATACTTGAAAACACCCATTATATAGCATTAAGAGATTAACCAGAAGGAATTTACCCACAATCATATGACATATATAAATATTTATTATACTTTGCAAAAAGATATAGCTATTGCAGATCACCAAAGAAATATAAATGTAACTAATCAAAAATATAAAATAACAATTTAGAAAAATCTATTAAATGATAGCAAAATATTAACAAACAACAAGATATTCAAAACAGTAGTACAAGAATTACACCAGAATGACGAAACATATATACAAATGTTACAAGAAAAAACTAGTTAGCAAAAAGAAATTACCAACAAGCGACTAATACAAGTACATACAACTAAACCAATATACAAAAAAAAGAGAACAGCCTAATAGTACATATGATAGCATACAACGACACCAAGTAACAACACAAGTGTATGAATGGAAACTCTGTCAAGCAATGACTCTTAGCGACAACACCAAATATGATGTCTCCAACTGACAATACCAATATATGATGCCTCCAAGGAAAGTATAGTACTAGCATATTTAAAAAAGAAAAAAAGCATTAATCAAAGGTTACAAAAAAAAAAAAAAAATACTTAAATATATCTTGATTGTATAATCGAGAAGTTAAGTGTTTTTAAAGATATGTACTGTACATATGTTAACTACAAAATAGCAAATCATACTTAATTTATGTAATTAATTACTTGATTACATACAAACGTATGTACTATATTAACCCAATGTAATAGACATTGTATGTGTATACACGCTTTTTCATTTGACAGTCATGAAGGGTGAAAAAATAAGTACATATTCTAAAGACTCACACATTTTTTTTAAAGACATGCATAGATTATAGGACTATATAATTATAAATGAAGGTGTTTATCCTCCTTTATATAAACTTGCATATACTAAGAAATGGAGCAATATGCTATTCCTGATCAGTATATTGTTCGCACAATATATGGAAAAAAATAGATATTACAGAATGCTCTATCCAATATATCAATAACAAACCATATTTTGCAATACAGTTTGACAAATACATGGTTCATTTAACAAAATCTTCATCAGATACCACAGCTAAATACTGCAAGGTAAATATAATTAATTTTAAAAAAATTTATTAGCATTAGCAATATTGTATTAAAAAATTAATATCTTTGAAGGGTCTTAAAAAGCTAAAAAATAAAGAAACTTTGTCAAGGATATTCAAGAAATAAATACAAATATGATTAATAAAAATAAGAATAAAAAGAAAAACTTTCGAATTTCAGATGTACAATTGTTTGGATTACAATTAAATTCTGTTCATATAGTTAGAAAAATGTTAATATCCAATACCTATCTTAAAGTTCAACCCTTTAACAATCTCTGTAATTCTACTCAATGACATCATATGTTGATAATAGCCAAATGTGTATTTGATCAAGTTAAAATTTGTAAAGAAAATATTTTTCATAAAGATGATAAAGTTGAAATTAAGCAAGCATGTTTTACTATAAATGATAAGCTATTTGAAATTCAATATGGAAAAGTTAACCAAGAAAAGATAGATGATTTGCATTTTGCAATTTTAAAATCATTAGATAAAAGCAAGATATCTCATGAAGCTTATTGATTATTAGCATGTATTAATCAAGATTTGCCAAAAGAGGGTGCAATATCAAGTACATATTAAAGACTTAATAAACAAATACAAAATCTAGTTCCTTTATTACTTATAAATATAGAAGAAACATCTGTTGCTTCTGAATTAACTGAAGATCAACCTCATATTACTAATCCTGATATAGTTAATAATGTAGTTAAATCTCTGTAAAAGGTGGACAGTGTTCTATAATTAATATATTAAATTTTATTGTACCTAAGTATATAAAAAAAGAACTTTTAATTCCAAATAATACTACTATTAAACTTCATATATCTGGAGATGGTAGGAATGTAGGACAAAAGGTTTAGCATGTTATAATAACGGCTATAATACTTAATAATATAGAAAAACTACATAAGCCTGAAGGGTATCATATACCTGTTCTTTACTCTAGATCAAAAAATTATCAATCTCTTCAAAATGCACTTTGCATATTAATTTTTGATTTAAATAATTTAAGAGAATCTGGATTTTACTAACTTAACGGCTTGCATTGGAATGTGGAACTTTTTTTTAGTGCAGATTGGAAGTTTTTAGTTACCTGTTTAGGATTTAATTCTGCAAATGCGAATCATTTTTGTCTATAGTGTATATGTACAAAACAGCAAAATGGAATTCTTGATCAAAATAATAAACTATTTGGCGATTAGACAATTACCAAAATATGGAACAAATAAAAAAAATTTTTTTGACATTAGAGAGCATCAATGTACACCCTTATTTAATATGATTGATCTTAAAAATTAGGTGTGTGATGAACTACATGTAATACTTCGCATTACAGATCGACTTTTTGAACTATTTTTATCTGATTTGCAACGAAATGGAGAGTTAGATAATAAAATTCAGCAAGAAATATTAGTAGAAATGAAACAAATTGGTGTAACATTTCAATTTTGGACAGATAAAAATACTAAAAAATTATGTAATCTGTCTTTGATAGGTCCAGACAAGTTTAAACTCTTACGTAATTTTAATTTTAAGAATATTAGTATTTGTTATTTACTAACAGTTAGACAAAATCAACTTAGAAAACTCTAGAATAAATTCGCTGAATTATATGATGATTTGCATCAAAAAAAAATAAGTGGTAGTAGTTTTAAAAAAAAAGCAATTGAATGGTTAGAATATTTTTTAACTCTATCTCAAGGATGTCCAAATAAAAATTTTGTGTGAGGACTATATCGAGCAACAGATTGTATTTCGTATATGCATGTTTTAACCTATCATATTCCCGAATTTATTGAGATTCATAGAGATTTAGAATTAATGGCTTTTTTATATTTAGCTTTAGAAAAAAAAAACCATATTCAAGTATGTTGATATTTTCAAAATATATTAAAAGATGTGGACATGATCAGTCTAGAAAATCAGCAATTCTAGAAATATTAGAACACAAAAATCGGCAATTATTTTATTGGCAAGCAGATATTCCTAGTTATATTAAAAAAGCTACACAATACCGATTAGAATAATATTTGTTAAAATTAGAAATATTTGTGGAGTCGATTAAAAATGACAGTTTGACTAATAGAATTAGTAAGTATTAATTAAAATTGAAGCTAAAAAGATAAATATATATATATATATTAATTTTTTAAAATTTTTTAAAATAGGGTATCACTACAAGTTAAAATCTAAAGCATTATTGATTAAAGGTTAGAGTAGGTTGGTTAAATTTTAGATTAATTGTATCTGTGTAGAAGTATGTTGGGCGATAATGTTCTTTTATATAATATAAAGTAATAGATTAATAAATTGATTATTGTGGCTTGTAACTGCATGATTTTTGTGATGATGATCAGGAAAAATTTCTGAAATCTGTTATTTTATATTTTCGATTAGTTATGTTTATATTTCTTTGAACAGCTACATCTTTTTGCAAATCACAATAAATATTTATATACGTCATATGATCGTAGAGGAAATTCCTCTCGGTTAAGATTAGATTTCTCATCTTTGAATATTATACTTAGATTAATGAATTTTTTAACTTGTAAACTCAATGCTTAAATTCCCACTACACCAATTTATTGAAATAGTAATAGCAAATTTAAAAATTAAATTTTCTATCTAATTCTGTTTTAATAACAATAACTAACAAATTTTATTTCTTTATTTTAGCTAATTTCAGATTTATTTTAACTTGGATTCCAAAATAATAAAAATAAGATTTCCTTCTTGATAATGTATAAATACATTATTTTTGACTGAATACTGTACTAACTTTAATTTCATATTCATAACAATAACCAAGCAAGAATATTTTGAGAATCAATAAAGTTCAGTTGATTTGACTTGAGCAATATCTTCTAATGCATTAATGCTTTCTGTAATTAATGCAAAAAATTACACACTATGTAAGAATTTGTTTATTTAAAGTGTTAAACGTAATACTATACAGCACAGACAAGTACTCCTCATATCAAAGTCCCTCTCAAAAGAAATTATATAAAGTACCGGCTTATGTAAAAAACTTAGCATAGTATCCGGGTACTAACTTAGATTTTGCTCGTGGAATGTATCATGTTTAGAGTACTATAGTTTGTGCTGACGGTATATATATTTGAATAAATACTGTAATATTTTTTAAGATGTCGCACTATGATATTACATATATCTTAAATAATTTACCTTATGAAAATATAAATGTTTAAATAAAATTAAGCATAAGTTGTATAATTGTAATTATTCATGGTTCTTCAATTTAGATCATGCTTCTATATATAGTTAAATATGAATTTTAATTTTAATATTAACAAGTTTATAGTTATGTTTCTATATAATAAAAATATATTACTTTCAAAAATTGTTAGACTTTAGTACATATTTTTAGTGCTTGGATCCGGTTTACAAAATCCGGATATATCCGGATATAAAAAGGATAACGGATATTTATTTGAAAAAGAGGATTACAAATCCGGATTTTTTTTAAAAAAATCTCAAATCCGGATTTTATCCGGATTTAATAATAATTAATTATCTGCATGTATGATATAATCGATTTATGAAGCCTATTTATTAAATTGATCCATTTATGTAAGTTACTCGTTTCCCACTGGGTAGGAGCCGTGCAGTGGTTTAGTAACCTGTGGGAATAAAAAACTTTTTTGTAATGAATGAACGACGCGCGATGCAAATTAATTTCTTTTTCTAGTTAGCATAGTAATCTAATTTTATAAATTTTTTCCCGGGTCTCAATAGTTATTGAATATCGCATTGAAGGCTGTCATTATTCAATGATTGCATAATTGTTATCATGCAGTATTCTGTAAGCAACAGAAAATTTAGTATGCTTGTACATTCATAGTATTTTCGGTTGGCAAAATTTACTAAAAGTCTACTTTTTAAAATACTTTGCCACATATTTCTATCAGTCCAAATTAATGAGGTTTCGACATGTTAACTAGATATGCCATATACGTATGCAATGCCTTTTTTTTTCAAAAAAAAGATGACATTTTCTATCAGTCCAAATCAACGCATTGTAACAAGTTTAACATAAATGTTATTCGTTTATTTTAATTTTTTAGAAGTCAGTATTTTTTTTGTTCAGAATT